GTGTATTTTGTAAAGATCTACACACATTTCATCTCGTGTGTGTGTGCGTTTGTGTTTTAATGAGCCTGTTTTGAATGTTCTATTGCACAACAACTGCAGCTATTTTCACGGAAATAAAGTTAACGAAAATCAAATACACTTTTTCAGTTTTTGCATTTTAGGTAGGTTTGCTAAGGTTAGATTCATATATTTAATACATTTTAATTAATACATTACAATTAATAAAATTAAGAAGAATGTAAGAATTTCGCTCTGAAACATGATAATTGCTATTTATCAGCATGCTTAATTTTAGACAATAATCCAAGAATTTCGTTACAAACAGTAAACAATTAGGCCTACCAGAGAAATGTTATGTCGGAGCGGGATCTGAGCGGGAATTGGTTCACGGTGAGCGTGAGTGGAATATTAACGGAGCGCTTGCTTGTGCGGTTAGAGCGACTGAGCCGAGCGCACGTCCATAGAGCGGAAAACGGAGCGGAGCGGCTCACATGCTCTGCTTTGAAGGCATCTTGAGTAAACCGGCTTCATATTTAACTAAGCATATGCAAAACGCTTGAACCGGAAGCGACGAGACCCGGTTAACAGAATACGGAAGTCTGTTGCGCATAAACCCTAATAGGGGGTAACGCATTACAAGTAACGCGAGTTACGTAATCAGATTACTTTTTTTCAAGTAACTAGTAAAGTAACGCATTACTTTTTAATTTACAAGAGAATATCTGAGTTACTTTTTCAAATAAGTAGCGCAAGTTACTTTTTTCCCCCCAATTTATTGATTGACAGCTCTGGTGTTGCCATGGTGACAGAAATCAGAAGATGTTACTCTAGTTCTGAAATAAATATGAATATGCATTAATTCATCTCACTCACAAAAAAACCCCCACACAGATTCAGTATTTGTATTCATATTCATATTCCTTCAAATGAATAAAAATAATGCAACTCAGAATATGACGCAAGCCTGCAATAATTAAATGTTAAACAACACAAATATGCTTTATGTATTTAATCCCATTCTATTAACCAGTGTCTTTGCTTCTGACCTTCGATGATCAGGTTCAACCGTACTAATCAGCACAAATTATTAAATTAAAAGTCTTTTTTTATTGCTGAAGTGTGTTGAAATGTCTTCTTCTGCATTCTACTGTACGGACGTAAATTTACTTTCCCTTCAGCCTAAGGGCTTATTCATTTCACTTTTGGTTTGAAAAGGCTTTTATATTTGCCAAAAATATAACTTTTTTATTTTAAAAACAAACAAGCAAGCCCAGTCCAGATTTAAAAAGTAACGCAAGAGTAACGTGTAACATTACTTTCCATAAAAAGTAACTAAGTAATGTAATTAGTTACTTTTTTTAATGGAGTAACGCAATATTGTAATGCATTACTTTTAAAAGTAACTTTCCCCAACACTGCCTCCGGGCCGTTGAATTATTAGAAAAATAATAACTCCGCTTCGCATCGCGGCCGCATCACCACCTCGGGTGTGCACTATATTTCTAATAATTCAACGGCCCGGAGTCAATTATTCCTTACTTAAGTGATAAGCGGGTCTGTATTCACGTTTTGATGATAGACATGGGTTTTATCATCATGAGTGATGGACATTCAGTCATTAAACCTATTTAAATCGGCAGGTGTAACGCTATCTTGAAGAAGTACTGTGTAACGTCTAGATGTAACGTAGTAACGTTACATGGGTGTCCGGTCCTGTACTACTGAAGAGTTTCGCTCCTATCCTTATAAAACACCAGTGTGGGGCAGTGGTAACTAGTTAATAGCAAGTAGTTACAGTAATAATATTACTTTTTGCTAGTAGTGTTAACTGATTCCTGTGACAATTTCAGTAATAACATTACCGTTACCATCCATAACATCTGGTTACTTTTGATGCATCGACCCCTACTGATTTGAAATCCAATGATTCCTAGATGTATTTTCATAATTTTCACGACTGGCACAGGCACATGAAGTCAGCAGTGCATCAGGAAAGCTTGGCATAGGGAAAAGCTTACATTCAGGGGATGGAAATATTGCCATTACACTGATTTTGTCAGGAGAAAAGGGTGATATTAGCACAGATGTGTAAGTTGTGGCATTACTTTACTCTTGCCCACCCACATCCCTCTGATCCTGATATAAATTATTACTATAATTAAAAATCGTATGAACTTATAGGATTTCTGCTGATAAAATACTTCATGTATATGCTTCATGTTACCAATATAATCATATATGGCTACATTTAGCTTCAAGCTCCACATGACAGTTAATACAACACTTTTAGTTAAAAGTCACCACCAATGAGTGTTTGTACAAACTTCTGACTGCGATCCAATGTGGATTTTGGTCAAATGATGAGGCAGAAATATATTGTTAGTAACATCCTAAAAGAATTTTATGAGAAGATACACAATTGCAACTTCTGTGGGGCGTGAAGGAAAAGTAATGTAACTAATTACTGTTGCCAGAAAGTAATAATATTACTTTAGAAAGGAGTTACTAGTAAAGAGTAATAAGTCTTCAGGATTATTATAAACGTCCAGGCCAGTGCGTTGTTGCATGTTGGAGCTAAACTCTACAGGACAGGATTGGAGTATGTAGATAATATTAAACGTTCACAAATGTTGTCATTTGTTTTGTTTTTTTTTAGCTTAATCCTATATTAATGATGTATTACCTATTTTTGCACATGTGTTTAGCTTTGGCAGCATTATATTACTTCCAGATGTTGCATGTTGGAGCTAAACTCTACAGGACAGGATTGGAGTATGTAGATAATATTAAACGTTCACAAATGTTGTCATTTGTTTTTTTTTTTTTTTAGCTTAATCCTATATTAATGATGTATTACCTATTTTTGCACATGTGTTTAGCTTTGGCAGCATTATATTACTTCCAGTCGTGCAGTTAAAGCCATTTAAATTCGACGGTTGAAGTATTTTTTGTATGTTTGTACTTTTATTGTACTCCTCATATATTTAATGTTTTATCAATTTAGAATTTTAATCTAATTTAATGTTAACAGATGAAAAAGTCCGATGTATACCGTGTATTCAGTGCAATACAATCCTTCAATTGAAGCATTTCAATTCTGCATCGTTTTCATTTGCAAATGTATTTAGATTTCACGTGGCGATGGATCCTGGGACTGTATCGCTGTTTCAGAGAGTCTCCGAAAAGCTGGGCTGGGACAGAGATGGTGGTCTTGATGGAGCTGAAGAGAAGGTGCAGTCCTTAAAATGAACATATACATCATTTGCATGAAACCTATCCCGAGATGTTTCACTAGAGCCTGTCCCTCAAATGTCTCTTGTGTTATTTCAGTTGAGGAAGAGCTTGAAGAAGAACAGTCGTGACTCTAGCACAGATCCAGCTCACAGACGGCTGCTGTCTGACGCTGATGGCTCGGGGAAAGAGAATCAGTCTCAAGAAAAGCATCTGCTATTGACGTCGGATGAGGAGGAACTTGATAAGTGTAAGTTTGGGTTGAGGAATACTGCTTGCTTGTATTCTTCTATTATTAATGCATTTGGTGTTTGTTTGATTTTCTTTCACTAGTTCTCGCTGCAAAGGCGACCCCAAAATCTACATTTAAACAGTCTGCATTAACTGCCCAGAAACCGAGGTGAGAATTTGATAAATTGGGAATATGTTTAATTTATAGTTATGATGCCTTATACATGTTCATCAGCTGCTTTAAATCTGAAGGATCATATTCTCTGGCCGAAGTCATTTACAGTTTTAGTTAAGCTCTGTGTCCTTGATTTTGTTATATAAAGCGATAGGACTGATATAAACTGCTGTTCAAAAGTTTGGGATCAGTAAGATGTGTTTTAAAGAAGTCTCTTCTGCTCATCAAGGCTGCATTTATTTGACCAAAAATACAAAAAAAACACTGTAATATTGTGAAATATTATTGCAATTTAAAATAATGTTTTTCTATTGTAATATACTTTAAAATGTAATTTATTTCTGTGATCAAAGCTGAATTTTCAGCATCATTACTCCAGTCTTCAGTGTCACATGATCTTCAGAAATCATTCTAATATGCTGATTTATTATCAATATTGGAAACAGTTGTGCTGCTTATTATTTTTTTGGAACCTTTGATACTTTTTTCAGGATTCTTTGATGAATAAAGTTAAAAAGAACAGCATTGAATTAAAATAGAAATCTTTTCTAACAATATAAGTCTTTATTATCACTTATTTTTTTTAATCAATTTAACACATCCTTGCTGAATAAAAGCATTAATTTCTTTAAAAAATAAAAATACTGACCCCAAATATTTGAACTGTAGTGTATATTGTTACAAAAGATTTATATTTTGAATAAATGCTGTTCTTTTAAACTTTTTATTCATCAAAGAATCCTGAAAAAAGTATCACAGGTTCCAAAAAAATATTAAGCAGCACAACTGTTTCCAGTATCGATAATAAATCAGCATTTAAGAATGATTTCTGAAGATCATGTGACACTGAAGACTGGAGTTACGATGCTGATGAAAATTCAGCTTTGCATCCCAGGAATAAATTATATTTAAAGTATAGTAAAATAGAAAACCATTATTTTAAATTGCAATAATATTTCACAATATTACAGTTTTTTTCTGTATTTCTGATCAAATAAATGCAGCCTTGATGAGCAGAAGAGAGTTCTTTAAAACACATTAAAAATCTTACTGATCCCAAACTTTTGAACGGCAGTGTATGACATAAAATAGTGAATGTATAATCCTGAAACGAAATAACTTTTTTTTTCCCCACCCTAGAGAACCAATTCCAGTTCTGTCTTCAGATAGTGACGATGAATTTGAAACGTGTAAGTTCTTTTAACAACTGCATTTAAATCAGATGGCTGATTTTGAGAGATGCCACAGTCTTTACATTTGTATCTTTTCCAGTTTTAATTCGAGTGAAAACCCCGAAGGCTAAAGTCCATCCGGAGTCTGTGAGTAGCAGTGATGACAGGTCAGTGTAGCACAATTTGCCTTAAACATGTTCTTCAGTGTATATCGTCACTACTGTCGCTCATCAGTTTTTATATTTCACCCCTCAGTTTGAAACGCTTCATAGTGGACAGCATGTCATCTGATGATGATTTTGTCATTGAGAGGAAGCCTTCCGTTAGTAAAGGTATGTACAAGGTAAATGCACAATTGACTTTTTTTTCTTTTAATTGATTATTGCATTATTTATCAGAAATGATTCATCTGTGCACATCATTATTATAAATAAATTCCTTTTCATGCCGACTATAAAACACGTTAACCGCACTTCATTGCGCTGATAGATCAAGTCGTGGGTCCTTTTTTGATGGAAATGGTGTATCCAGCAAGTGATGTTGTTTCTGCACAGGGAAAGCCAAGACTGCTAGAACTCCTAAATCAGTTCAGAAGCCAGAGAAACGGCCTCCATCTCTCTGTGATCCTCCTGTCTTCCTGAGCGACAGTGATGATGACGGTGACGCTGTTATCAAGAGCTCCTGGAGGACCAGACACAGCCACCCACCTTCTGAGGAACATCACGCCACAAGTACAGGCAGAGAGGAGACCGCAAAGCCTTGTGTTCTCCCCCCAGCAATCACAGTGACGACACACGCCCGTCCAGAGGACACATGCAGCTCTGAGGAGGAGTTCCAGTCCTTATTGGACCGAGTCAGGCAAAATCAGAATCTAGGAGGCAGCACACATGCAAGCCCAAAGCCACCTCCAGGTACTGCTCACATGGTTTCAGTCTTGTTCGGAGGGCTAGATGTGGCAAAATCGGCTACCTTTAAAAATTCAGGGTTCACAAGCAAATTTTTAGAGCAAGTTTGGTTGGTTTGTGCTTTATGAGCAGAAACCCAGTTTACGAGTTGTTGTGTGTATCGTCACTGACACGTACATGTACTTTGCTTTTAATCACTAATGATACAGCTGTCAACTTCTCATGTAACTGACAGGAAATGGGGTAACATAACCAAACTAGAGTTTTTGACTCGGAAAGAAATGCCGTAGTCAGTTAGAATGAAACTTAAGTCCTTAAAGATGCAATTGTTTTGGTAACATGTTTATGAGGTTGTCAAATTGTGAGAATGAGTTGTGATAATCTCAGAAGTATCAGAAGTTCCTTTGACTATTAAACACATCCTGTTGGACTGTAATTTTTATAATAATGCCAGAAAACGCTTTTATTCAGGAACGTGTTTAAGTGGAATATTTTGTAATGTATCACCTGAATGTATTTTAGATTTTTTTTGTTGTTGTCTTATGTCAAGTTAAAATGTTTATATAATAGTTAAACATTTTATGGATAATGATTAGGGTTGCAAAGGGGTGGAAGATTTCCGGAAACGTTCCAAAAATCCCTGGAATATTCCAAAAAATACCTGGAAAGATTCCACCTGTTTGCAACCCTAATTATGATGCTGACCCCGTGTTTGCCACTTAAATAGCCCAGCTGCTAACATTGCATAAAAAATTAATTAACAAACAAACTCATCAGTTATAAAATTCTAAAGAAATCATCATATATAATTGCAAATGGAAAAGCCTAATTATATGCATTTTTTTTCTTTTGTTGTTTAAGATTTTGATGCCTGTATATTTTTATTTTTATTTTTTGCTTTTTAAGGCCGGTGAAAATATCTTCTAAAATATTGTGCCCAAAATCTGAGCTACAGAAAGAAGAACCTCTTGTTTTCCGTTTCCGTTCTCTCTCCATGTAGAATCCAAACCACGACCTCCCTGTTTGTCGACACCATCTGCCGTGGGTAAGAAAGCTGCTAACCAAGTACCGGTTAAAGGATCGTCCACAACCCACACCCCAGTGCAGCAGACGCCCCGCAGCAGACCAGTGAGCCACACTGAGTCCAGAGCTCCACCCAGCAGCAGGTACCTCCGAATCACCCACAGATGCCTCTCTGGAGACACTATGCATTCTCTCAGCACTGCATTCTTTTGTTGTTTAAGATTTTGATGCCTGTATATTTTTATTTTTATTTTTTGCTTTTTAAGGCCGCTGAAAATATCTTCTAAAATATTGTGCCCAAAATCTGAGCTACAGAAAGAAGAACCTCTTGTTTTCCGTTTCCGTTCTCTCTCCATGTAGAATCCAAACCACGACCTCCCTGTTTGTCGACACCATCTGCCGTGGGTAAGAAAGCTGCTAACCAAGTACCGGTTAAAGGATCGTCCACAACCCACACCCCAGTGCAGCAGACGCCCCGCAGCAGACCAGTGAGCCACACTGAGTCCAGAGCTCCACCCAGCAGCAGGTACCTCCGAATCACCCACAGATGCCTCTCTGGAGACACTATGCATTCTCTCAGCACTGCATTGTGACATTGTCCTGTTGTTGATTTTGTCAGAGTGGTGGTGTGTAAAACTCCCGGCTGCTTCCTGCAGTCTCTGTCTGTTCCTGGATCGTCGTACTGCCGCAGCTTCAGACTCAACAAAGAGGAGCTCACAAACAAACTCTTCCAGCTCTACAACACCAGCGTGTTTGGCAGTGTGGTACATGTGAAAACCTCCAGTTCCATTTGTAGTAATCATTAGTGGTGTTTGCTCAGCAACGATTGCTAGTATTTAAGGTTAGATTTGTTTAATGTATGATATTCGTTTAGCAGATGATAGAGCAGGTGAAAAAAAATCTGTAGACTTCCATTAAAGAAGGTAGAGGTCTGCATGTCGGCGGTCAGGTTTTGAATGAATGATTGGAGGAAGATTGTATTGAAGAGACCTTTGAGTCAAACAAATTAGTCTCCAGCACCAACAGACTGGCTGAAGTTGTTCCGGCTGTTGTCTATGGAAGTCCGTTTCTGACACTGAATAAAAAAAGGTAAAAGCAACTTTTTATCTCGCAGTTCTGACTTTTTTTTTTTCCCCTCAGAATTGCGAGTTTATATCAAGTTTATACAAATTCCAACTATATATCAAGCAGTTGTGAGTTACAGAATTGCGAGATACAAACGTGCAGTTTGTATGAGGAAAAAAAGGCAGTCGTCGTCAGAATTGTACTTTATATAACTAGTAGTTTATATCTTACAGTTTCTATGAAAAGAAGTCAGAATTGTGAGATATAAACTCGCAATTGTAAGAGAAAAGTCTTCGCATTTGTGAGATACAGTGGGGGAAAAAAAAGTATTTAGTCAGCCACCAATTGTGCAAGTTCTCCCACTTAAAAAGATGAGAGAGGCCTGTAATTTTCATCATAGGTATACCTCAACTATGAGAGACAAAATGAGAAAAAAAATCCAGAAAATCACATTGTAGGATTTTTAAAGAATTTATTTGCAAATTATGGTCGAAAATAAGTATTTGGTCAATAACAAAATTTCATCTCAATACTTTGTTATATACACTTTGTTGGCAATGACAGAGGTCAAACATTTTCTGTAAGTCTTCACAAGGTTTTCACACACGGTTGCTGGTATTTTGGCCCATTCCTCCATCCAGATCTCCTCTAGAGCAGTAATGTTTGGGGGCTGTCGCTGGGCAACACGGATTTTCAACCCCCTCCAAAGATTTTCTATGGGGTTGAGATCGGGAGACTGGCTAGGCCACTCCAGGACCTTGAAATGCTTCTTACGAAGCCACTCCTTCGTTGCCCGGGCAGTGTGTTTGGGATCATTGTCATGCTGAAAGACCCAGCCACGTTTCATCTTCAATGCCCTTGCTAATGGAAGGAGGTTTTCACTCAAAATCTCACAATACATGGCCCCATTCATTCTTTCGTTTACACGGATCAGTCGTCCTGGTCCCTTTGCAGAAAAACAGCCCCAAAGCATGATGTTTCCACCCCCATGCTTCACAGTAGGTATGGTGTTCTTTGGATGCAACTCAGCATTCTTTCTCCTCCAAACACGACAAGTTGAGTTTTTACCAAAAAGTTATATTTTGGTTTCATCTGACCATATGACATTCTCCCAATCCTCTTCTGGATCATCCAAATGCTCTCTAGCAAACTTCAGACAGGCCTGGACATGTACTGGCTTAAGCAGGGGGACACATCTGGCACTGCAGGATTTGAGTCCCTGGCAGCGCAGTGTGTTACTGATGGTATGCAGGTCTACAATTTTGTTTCTGGTGTCCTTTGACAGCTCTTTGGTCTTGGCCATGGTGGAGTTTGGAGTGTGACTGTTTGAGGTTGTGGACAGGTGTCTTTTATACTGATAACGAGTTCAAACAGATGCCATTAATACAGGTAACGAGTGGAGGACAGAGGAGCCTCTTAAAGAAGAAGTTACAGGTCTGTGAGAGCCAGAAATCTTGCTTGTTTGTAGGTGACCAAATACTTATTTTACCGAGGAATTTACCAATTAATTCTTTAAAAATCCTACAATGTGATTTTCTGGATTTTTTTCTTCTCATTTTGTCTCTCATAGTTGAGGTATACCTATGATGAAAATTACAGGCCTCTCTCATCTTTTTAAGTGGGAGAACTTGCACAATTGGTGGCTGACTAAATACTTTTTTGCCCCACTGTATAAACTGAGTGAGTTTCTGTCTCGCAATTCTCAACTTTAAAACGTGCATTGCAAGAGAAAAAAAATCTGAATTATGAGTTTATATCGCACAATTTCAGAGAAGAAAGTCAGAATTGCGAGATGTAAACTCGCAATTGCAAAAGATAGAATGTCGCAATTAACTTTATTATTTTCTATTCAGTGGAGGAAATGGGCTTCCATAGTTTTCCACAAAGCCAACCAACCCAATTACATAGACAGCTATGTTCCTCCAACATGGTGGCTTTCTGGCTAGATAGAAATTACAAAAATATATGTGTCATCAACTTTGTTTAAATCTGATTTTAGGTAAAGCTGGGTTTCGAATACATTTGGGCATTATCAGTGCCAAAAACACATTTCACTTCCACTTTAAATCGTTTCAATATCAATTCCAACCCCTCAGCTTCCCGCTGACATGTCTGTCTCATGGAACAAGAAGATGCGCAAGACAGCAGGATATTGCATCTCAGGCCAGGAGTGCGGCTCTGGGGAACGATATGCCCGCATCGAGCTGTCTGTCAAAGTTTGCGACTCTGCAGGTACTTGTCATTACAGATTTAAAATTCTCAACCGCTCTCGACACTTGGTGATAAACGCAATGTGTTTCCAATTACAGATCGGTTACGGGATACATTAGTCCATGAAATGTGTCATGCTGCCACATGGCTAATAAACAATGTTGATGACGGGCACGGGCCGTTCTGGAGGCTTTATGCTCGTAAAGCGATGCTGGCTCATCCTGAGCTACCGATGATTTCCCGCTGCCACAGTTACGACATCAACTACAAGTTCCAGTATCAGTGTGACCGCTGCAAGAACACGTGAGTGCAGGACTGTCCTGCTTGCTGCAGTGGGTCACATTTAACTGTTTTGATAGAGGAAAACAAGATACATTTCTACTTTCAACATTATTTGTTCTTTAGACCTTCCTTTTTAAAAGAAACAAAGTATCAGCTGAATGCAAAGTGACCCACATTAGGTTTTTGACTACTGAAAATGTGTACAATTTACTCCTGGAGCCATGTTTAGATCCCAGTATCTCTGGAACTGAATCATATAGGGCCTAAAAATGAAGATGCCAAAAGGGAACGATGGTAAAGACCCGAAATCTAAAAGAGCTTTAAGATATCTTTAATACTTCCCGAGTTATAGGCTTGCAAACTTTGGAGATAAAAAAACGTTAAAAATGCTTCTTCCCATTTTTTCAATGTTCACAACTGGCATATACTGCAACAAAGATGGTTAAAGTCAACAGATTTACTAACAATCTCTGTGTGAAAATAACATGATGATGATGCCATCTTTCTGAAGTCATTTTTACACTACTGTAATTTGGCTCCGAATCTCAGGTGAAAATTGACATTTTGACCCCCCTCTTTAAACATTTAATATTTTGGCTTTCATCACTATACATGTTTATCTTTCTTCAGAAAAACCTTGACAAAATCTAAGACCCTATTGGCAGTAGACTGGACCTTTTTTGCCTGCAATATTTCAGTCATGTGACCGCACTTTTGAACAATAAATCCCAATTCTATCTCTAATAGTCAGTGTTTCTATCCCTCACAGCATCGGCCGCCACTCTAAGTCCCTGGACACCACAAAGTTTGTGTGTGCTCTGTGTGCTGGGCAGCTGGTTCTGCTGACTCCCTCGAAGCCGCGGGCGCCCACGGCCTTCGCCACCTTCGTGAAGGAGAACTACAGCTCCGCGAGACAGGAACTGGAAGGCCACAGTCACGCTGAGGTAATGCGCAAACTCAGCGCCGACTTCGCCAGCAAAACACGTCTCAGTCAGAGCTGATCTCAGATCAGACACCTCAAACATCACGACTGCTGCATCAGTTTGAGTTCTGTTCATATGCAGTGTCAGCTTACAGGGAATGAAATAGACTTCTGTGGGCATGTCAGCCTCCATCAGACTATTTCTATTTGTTTTTATACTGTGAAATGGTTTTATTTATGGTTAATGGCTATAGAAGTCTTAAGATATATGAGCCATATTCATATGTTTATTTACTCCCTTGTTGCTAAATCTTAAGATCAAGTTATCAAAGGGATATTCGTGTCCTTTTTTTTGTATTTGTGTGTCACGTCGGTTAGTTATATCATCTCATGTATTTGTTTAGATGTATTTTCTAAAGAATAAACTATTGAGTTATTACATTCTTCATTTTTCCCTTTATTTTGTGCATGTTACTGAATCCAAAATACACTGCAGAACATTTATTATTATAAATGTTGGAAACATGTGCTGCTTAATATTTTTGTGGAAACAAAATCAGGATTTTTTAAAATGAATCAAATTCAGAAGAACAGCATTTATTGAAGAACGTAATTTTTATCTGTAACAGTGCAGAAGTCTTTACTGTGAAGACATAAACCTGTATCAGCTTAATGAATCAGTTTTGCTGAATAAAAGTATTAATTTCTTTTAAAATAATCTTACTGCCTCCCAAACGTTTGAACAGTAGTTAATTTCGGACTCATGGCAATCATGCATGACACTAACAATAAGATAATAACTAAAAAAATAAATAAGCATAATTGAAGTTGGTTCACAAGTTTTTGGGTTCAGTTGAGACTTTGAGAACCATCTCAGAATGAACAACAAGAACAAGGAATGGCATAATATTTCTGTTATAATCGCTCACTAATGATGTATCTCAAGCAAATGTGAAGACCAGCATGTATTGTAGTTACATCTGTAAGTCAAAATGTTTTATTTCACCCTGCATGGGAGATGCAGGAGGATTCTTGCATTGTTGGGGGAACCAAGACAGGCAATAAAACACCAGTCATCTCAGTAACGGCTGCTTAATACAATTTATTTCATTTTAAATAATACTTAAATAGCATCACAAATGTACTCCAATACAAAACATCTGAAACTAATTTTGAAGGGTGCATAAAGGAAACACAAAGTGGAGAAATACAAGCACAAGATCACCGTATGTATTTACTAACACTGCAGAAATCTCCTTCAAAGAAGCTGAAGTACAGACGCCCCTGAAAGCGCAGAGAGCACACTGATGCTAAAGTCAACAAGAGATTGTGAACATCATTCAACAGGGCTCTCGATTATTTAGTCAGTGATATACTATTCGTAAATACTTAAACATACCATAAGGTAGAAACTTAAAGGTAAAGTATATATGAGTGAATCTGAGTGAAAGAAAATGATGTATATTTTAGGCCCATTTCAGATTTTCATACTGTGACACTGTCCGGACATTTAAACACATTTGCCTCCAAATTCCCATTTCAAGAAAAGCTTTTTTTTAAAATACATTCTCATTGTTGTAATAGTTATTTTTACTAATACAATATTTTAAGTTTTCATAAATGAATGGCAGTGTTTTTTTGCGAGACATTTGGGGGTTCTTGAAAATTAATTGTCATAAAAAAGTGTCTATCTAAAAGGTCATAAAAATAAGCTACATTTTTTTTAAATGCAAAATGCTTTTTTTAATTTATTTTGAAATATGACCCCAAAACATTTGCTTTCTAGGTGAGATTTAACCATGTTATGACAGATTCACAAAATATTTCAGTGCATACCACACACCAATATTTGAATTACATGCTACTGTTTATATCTTTACTGATAAGAATATAGAGTGTAAACAACTGACGTTTTGCTATTTGGCAAACCCACACCGATCTGAAATGACCACCGGGCTTGACGGGCATCAAGGTCTTGGAATGGTACGGTGCATAAAACGGCGAAATCATAAAAAAAAACAAAAAACTTGAAAATGTTTACATAGAAGAGAATATTTCTCATACTCCTGTGCTTCTGATAACATTCAGTACAAACTTGTTTTCTTCATGATGCGAAGAAATTCCTGCTGGTTAACTTCTCCATCACCATCTCGGTCTGCTTCATCGATCATTTCCTAAAGACACACATGCAAAATGAATGTGATGTTTAAAAGAGAAATCCATCGTCTACCACACGGCTCACGGTTGGGTTTTTGTGAATATTCTTGCACCTGCAGCTCCTCGTCTGTGAGGTTTTCCCCGAGCTCCTTGGCCACTCTCTTTAGATTCCGGAAAGATATTTTTCCGGTCTCGTCATCGTCAAACAGCCGAAAAGCTTTAAGAATTTCTTCCTTGGAGTCCTTTTCAACCTTAAGATTTCCAAACAATAATAATAATAATAAAATGTCCTACCTGGCTGGAATAACTAGAATTTTTTTAATGTACAATTCTTACCATTTTTTGAGTCATCACGGTCAGGAAATCACTGAAAGAGATCTTTCCAGTAGCATCCTTATCAACCTCTCCAGTCATTTTCTTGATTTCCTCCTTCTTCGGCTCAAACCCCAGCGCTCTCATGGCCACCTGCAGCACAATTCTTCATTATGTGCAGAAAGCCTGACATACACAGATACAGCGGACTCCAAAGGTCTAATGCACGAGTCAAAATGATTCGGCTTTGCATTCGTTCCAGAAGTAGGCCATACATTGTCCTTCAGAATCCTAAAACGTTCCAAGTTTAAAAGACAATCATCAGGAAGATTGTATTGGATGTTTGGATCCCTCTGTACACTATATGGCCGTACACTGCTCATGGCAGCTATGTTCATGGCATTATATCTCACCTTTAGCTCCTTCACCTCAATATAACCAGAGCCATCCGTGTCAAAGAGCTCAAACGCCTCTCGGATCTCCTGCCTTTGCTCCTCTGTCAGCTCAGGCTTTAGGCTGGCTTTTTTACGAGGGGCTGCTGCCCCCAGTGAGGGTCTTTTGGGACTAGTGGCCTGTGTTGTGTAGAATAGAATAGAATAGAACCTTTATTAAAACAGGACCAGACCTGTGCAGTGTTACATCACAATTCAAATGATGAATACAAGACATAATGTAAACATAAGACAGTGCACGTAATATATCATTCAAGCTGGAATAATATTGTTAGGGTAAAGAAATGGAAAATAAGTTATTAAATAACACTTGCATTCAAATGCCCTGCTGACTATTCCCTCTGTATTTATGAAAGACCAGTAGCAATAACACATATGTTACACAAACCTGAAGAAGGCATTTTAAATTGAATGACAATTAAACAGTCGCTTAAATCGAGTGACAGTATTTGTCCTAATCGCAAAAATGTACAAAAAAGCCTAGATCGCGACATTGTTGCATTCGTCGTGACTCACCATCTTTACCCGGAGAAGACCAGCAAGTGGAGAATAATGTAAACCTTGCTCTGGCTTGGCTTGGCTTGGCTTATGAATATTAATTACGTTCCATGACGCTCGGTCAGTAGACCGAAGTGATTGGCTGAAAGGAGGACGTCGCCGGAAACCTTGGCTCATGAATAATAATTATATCACGCTCCCGGAAGCAGCTTCCGCACAACCTAATTAATCAAGTCTATTCGCCATAGTAAGATTCGTAATTTCGTACAAAAGCATCTTTCCCTGATTTGAACGCTTCTTTAAACAACAAACTGTGAGGATAAAGTAGTATCCAATTCACGTCTATTTGATCCCATAACGTGGGGCTTTATAAAGTTAACATATGATTTTTTTTTTAACCTGTGTTACACAGACAGCAGATGATCATGATTTCGCAATGCCATACTACCACATTATTCTGTTTTGTATTCACATAGCAGAAATAGTAAGAGTAGCATGATTTTAGAATTCAGCCACTCATTTTCTATGAAACTGACATGTTTAAATGAGAATCGGTTGTTTCGCGAACCTTTTGTTATTTGTGTTTTATCATTTGTATATCTCATAATGGTATACCTTAAACTTTTAAACAATATCCTAAATAATAAACGATAATATAATCACATGTAGGGGCGTATTTGGTGCTGTCATGGGGAGGGGACTATCTTGGTGACTTTTACTGATTGGCTGGCGCAGTGGCGCTCTTTGACGTTGCCCTTCTCTCATTGGTTAGACGCATTGTCAGGTTGATGCCTGATGGTTGACTGAACCAATCAGAGGTCTCTCCGCGCTCTGCCCATATGGCTCTTCGTGCGTCCTTCGTAATCATTACACAGCTGTATCTCTAGTTTGAGATACACAGGTGAGTGCCGCTTAACTGAACGTATTTATATATTGTGCTTCGAGCGTAGAACGTAAGTTTGGTTTCAGTGAACAGTTCTGTCAGAGTTCAAACCAAACCTAAACTCGTGGAAAATGTGCAGTAAATGGTTCAAAGGTCAACCAACCCGCGTGTCACACAGTTTTTAAGAAGTGTAATTAAACATAAATATTGTTTATTAATCCGCAGACTGCTTTCGGGAGCTGAGAGAGATCCACACATGGCAACTCGCACGAGACCAGTGAGTATTTACACCTGAAGCACCTTTGCACTATTATTACCTGTTAGGATTCTGACAGATTTGAATAGGATTGTATGTTTAGGATGTTATCATTATAACATATTAATATGAACTTACTGTTTCCATACTGTGCATTTATATGCATGCACACTGGTCACAATGCACAATGACCATCATACATGCCATTTACTTTCATATATAATCCATTTTATTGTCATTTGTGGATGTTTGTATTTTTCTGCCCCATGTTAAAAGCTCTACATGTTTGTAGATATCTGACATGTTCTTCTGCCAGGCAGGGGACAAATGACAATGAATTCAGCTTGTCTTGATATTGTGATATTGTGCAGAGCAGCAAGCGTTGTGCTGTCCTCGGAGGATCTGGATTTCTGGGCCGGCACCTCGTGGAGCGTCTAGTGGACCGAGGATACACCGTGAATGTGTTTGATATCAGACAGGCCTATGAGCTTCCAGGAGTGCCGTTTCACCAAGGGGACTTGTGTGACAGACAGGTGGGGATGGTTCGGTTTTGATCTGGCAGAATCAGTCTGACACAGTCTTCACCCTTCCTCGCTGTCCTCCTGATGTCTTGTTTTTAGGCCTTGCTGGTGGCTTTGAAAGAAGTGTCTATAGTGTTTCACTGTGCTTCACCTGCTCCAGCCAACGATGACCGTGCTCTGTTTCAGAGGGTTAATATTGACGGGACACGGACTGTCATACAGGCCTGTCATGAGGCAGGAGTACAGGTATGTATTATATATCATGTGTGCCAGCTGATGGTAAAAATAAATGTAATGTACACTACCGTTTAACGTCAGAGATAATGCATTAAATCTATCAAAACATTACGCAGCACAACCGTTTCCATCATTGATAATAATCAGAAGTGTTTCTTAAGGAGCAAATCAGCGTATTAGAATGATTTCTAAAAGATCATGTGACACTGAAGACTGGAGTAATAAATTGTATGAAATTGTACTAATATTTTCACAATATTACTGTTTTACTGATCAAATCAAAGTAACCGTGGTGAGCATGAGAGGAAAAATCTTACAGACCCCAATTGTAAAGTATATGACTCACTCTATACATCAAACATTATTATTATTATTATTATTATATATATATATATATATATATATATATATATATATATATATATATAT